GGGACAAAGCAAAGTAAATGGCTTCTAGAAAGATAACAGAGAGAAAGCAGAGGTCTAATGGGAAATGATTCCAAAGGAAAACAGCATAAAGGAAGAGGATTAATGGATAAAAGCTATAGAGGAACCAAGAAACTAATAAACCTGATATATAATTCCTGAGGGACTTTCAATTTGCAAACATGGAAACAAAAAGAAGAAAAATTGCCTGCCTTATCTTTAAAGCTGATGTAGGATGTAAAGTGGGGAGGGGGATAGATTAGCATCATTGTGATAGGATACTGTACGGTTCCCTTGTCCTTTTTTTTTTGAGCAAATATTTTAGAGGAGACAAAGATTAAAGAGAATCATGATGTGGCCAAAGCTATTAGATAATTCTTTTAAAAGCAGGTTATATTCTTTGTCAAGACACTCTTTCATAAATCCCCTTTCCCACAAGATATAAGCCACTACTCTTCATCATCATCCCAACTTACTCCAACATCATTCTAGTTGAGGATAAACACAGATAAAAAATTCAAGACACCACAAGAAAACAAAGCATGATCTTGAGCTAAGTATCACTTATTAGATCTTTGGAACAGAAGAGAGAAAGGAAAAACATATTTGACAGAAAACCACTATGTTGCTAAAGATATAAATAAGGTTTGAGAGAGAACAACAGTGAAAAAGAGACCATGTTTGCATAGAAGAAAGTAGAAAAATACCACAAGCAATGCAACATAAGAAAACTTGAGAATAGAGTATTTGGCTATTGGAAGAAATATACCGAAACTGGATGTGAAGACAAATACGTAAGAGAAATGTTTGTGTTTTTCCAATGCCTAGTTAGGACCAAAGGCAGGCATTGCTGTCATGTGGTAGCGGTGGAGCACCTCTTTATTTTTGTCCTCATACGAACATAAATTTGTGATATGGAAGAGATTCAGATAGGTTGAAATCATGATTTGCCTTTTGTATTCTAATTTCATTATTCAAAATTTGTTTTAATCTATGTAATTAGATTTGTGAATCAAAGTGAATAATGGAAATCTTGAAAGCATCTTTAAAATGAAAAGTTAATCTTGCTCAAAGACCACCGAAATGAGGTTTTCTAACAAAATGCTAAATTGCCCCTTCAAACGATTTCATTTTAAATTAACAACCAACATGCTAGAATAGATTTTGGAATATTAATGAAGATTGGTGAACATTCATAGATACTGATGTCACACAGCATTTAGTCATCTATGGTCTGTTTGCAATTTTCATTGCAAATCTGTTTTTTTTAATTAATTAGATTCCTGGATGAGTTCTTTCTGCTTGCAGAAAGTGCTTTAACATTTTATCTAATTATTGGCTTTGACTTTGCTACTAGTGATCAGATTTGAGCTTCCCAGCTCCATTTTAAAGTAATTTTCATTGATATTCCAAATGAAATGCTCCCATTTTTCATAAATTTTATCACTCTAATATTTTCAACATGTTCAAAGACATGAATAGTTATGTACATACAGTTACTTATCTGCCACTCTTACATTTTCTTCCAGCGTTGTGAGCTGCCCATCAAGTTGGATAGGATCTGTCCCTAATGGAAATTCCCGATTCCCTCTTTCACAAGCTTCTGCTGGGAAATCACATGGTCTTGCAGATTCTGCAATGAGTTCCTCTGTTGCATTGATTACTTTTAGGACTTCAGTAGATATGTTGCAGAGAGAGGCTGCAGAGCATTTCTGTTTTAAAGATAAAGAATTCATACTAGAAAGAAAATGCTAGTTTAGTAAAACTACATTGTTTTCTACTGGATGTGTGGATGGATGGATGGATGGATGGATGGATGGAGAGAAAGAAAGAAAGAAAGAAAGAAAGAAAGAAAGAAAGAAAGAAAGAAAGAAAGAAAGAAAGAAAGAAAGAAAGAAAAGAAAGAAAGAAAAGACAGAGAGGCAGGGAGAATAAGCATAGAGGAAGCCATTATCTTTACAGGCCATCTTGCCTACCATTATAGTCTTTTGGGATCTCATTTTATATATATCATCTTCTACAGAATGATCCTATCAAACACCCTGGGCCTGAGAGGAAGGGTTCTATAAGAGATAATTGATGTAGTCATAAAAATGTTAAATTAGAAGTCCTTTGACCAAGTCTACTCTCCACCATGGAAGCTTATTTGATTTGGGACAGAATCACTCAGTCTCAGCCTAACTTCCCTCACAGGGTTGTTGCGGGAGAGAAAAGGGGAATGAGAGCTATGAGTTCTTGAGAAAAGGTGGGGGAATACATACATACATATACATATATACATACAGGTTAACATTTTATATAAAGGGAGACTATGGTCTTTTTTAAGTATTACTAAACAGTTGTTGACATAAAGGAAATAATTAGAAAAGAAACAGCATGATTTAACAATATCTGTACGAGAAAACTGATAACCGCTGAATTCAGAGAAATATACAGTATTTGACAATCAAATTAATACATTTTTTGGGTCCTGCATGCTTAAAATATTTGATTTATTCTTTTTTCAAATACATTTGCCATAAATATGGACCATAGTAGGGCCTTCTGACAATGATAGTGCACACTAAAAACAAAACAATCCAAATATTTAAAATAATAATGCAAATTGTAAAATGCTCTTCAACATCATTAGTTTCCCATTACCTGCTTTCCAGGAAACTGTACTCTGGAATCCCTTAAATCTCTCATTACATAGAAGTGAGGTACACATGCATAGCAATATGCTGTCTGCCTAAAATGGATTGTTTCATCCTAGACAAAGAGATTTAGGAAGAATGATGCATAAAAATTACAGTCTTTCAGAGAGCCAGTTTGATCTAATGGTTAAGACACCAGGCTAGAAACCAGGAGACTGTGACTTCTAGTCTTGCCTTAGGCATGAAAGCTGGCTGGGCAACCTTGGGCCAGTCACTCTCTCTCAGCCCAACTCACTTCGCAGGGTTGTTGTTGTGAAGAAAATAGGAGGAGGAAAGAGTATTAGGTATGTTCTCCACCTTGAGTTATTTATAAAAATAATAAAGGCGGTATAAAAAATCTAAAAAAAAAAATGGCACAAACTGTGGGGATAGAAGATAGGGATATAGCTGGCTGTAAAACCCAAAAACAATTAAAATAAAACAAAATTAATGCAGTTTTGAACATTAAAAAAGTAATGTTTTTCACTGTGAACCCCCCCCCCCCAACCCCAAATGCAGCACCTAGATATTTGGCTGGGTTCATGAATATTGGTCCATGGAGGAGGATGTCATATATTTTCAAATAACGTTCATCTTAGAAAAAGTATACTCTATTTAGATTCAGAGTAATTTACAATACTAAGTGGCAGCACTTGGGTGAACTTATCTGGGCTCAAAAACACAGTTAAAATAATAATCCTGATTAGGACTACTAGAGCTAAAGGCTAGACTGGAACACCACACAAATCTCTGGGAAGGTGGCAATAGCGAATCACCTCCATACTGCTGGTATCAAAACTGCATGGATGCAACAGTGATGCCACAAGGAGTTAAGCTCGACTTAAAGGAGACTTAATTTTATTGGATGACAATAAGGTCTCAAGCAAATATATTATATGTGCCTAAATTCCTGTTAATAAGCATATTGTCACAAGGGCATCCATGGGTGGGTAGGGGGGTCATTTCAAAAAGTCAAGAAGCTGGCCACAGCTGCATGGTCAAAGCTACCATCCTGGCTTTTTTGACCCCCACCTGCAGAGGTCTTTGCACTATTATGTTTTTAATAAGCATATTGTCTTATTTTTAAAGTTGCTTTAAAAGTAGCCCTCTGTTATATGGCTTAATGGAAGAAAATGGGTTACTGTGGTTAAGGAGAATAAAAGTAGAAGTAGCAGGTTAGACATAATAAGAACTATCACATTTTACGCAAGCATTACAGTGATAATTAAACTAAGTAGACAACTTTTCTCTTTAAAGGTTGGGAGACACAGTGCTCGAATCACAATATATTTCTGTACCACTCATGATTTTTCCATGTTTTGCATTTACTTTTATGAATGCCATTTAGTATGAAAAAGATCAATAATATTAAAGGAAAAAATCAATTCTGCTGTATAGGAGGCTGGGGAGGGGGGTTGCCTTCACATTTACTGAGTTAATTAAAAGCCCCCCAAAGCTGCTTCAAAGTATTCCCATATTGACAATTTTGTCAGTCTTTAAAGAAATATGCCAAGACCTGCATTTTCACTTTTTAAGGTGAGCTGGCTCTTGAAGACCATATTTTAAGACTTAGATCTTTATGGCTTACTACAGTAAGAGATGAAAAATAGATCCGAAATTTGTAGAGCTCATACATATACAACCAGATATTATTACTTATGAGAAATGGCAGTTGGTTTGACATTGTTTATTGTGTGGGTAAACACTTTCAGAGAAGCTGTTCCGGGTAACAAGTTACTAGCACTGACAGCCCACAAATGCTTTTCATCATCAGCTTACTACAGAGGGTCAGTCTCCACCCAACAGTATTGTATTTGTATATTTGGGTGTAGAAATGTTTGTCATCTAGAGTATATCCTCTTAGAAGTGTTCATCTAGGTTGCAGAGAGAATTAGAAGTACTATATCATTATGGGTTGGGGGCTTTGATCAAGATACCCTGCAAATATTAACTCTGAGTTTTCTGTGAGAGCTTTCTATGACATGAGGCAATATCTTGTATAAATTGACAAAAGGCAGCAGATAATCAATAACATTCTGGGTTATGGTTGCTCAGTGGGAGCTAGGATGATCTAAGAAACATAGTGCTAGGTGGAAATGACTAATCAAGAGGAAGAAGAAAAAGTGAAATTTGTATGTATAGCAGGAAGTTAGTCTATCCTGGACTTGGATCTGTAAAAGAGACAGAATTACTATACTTTCTGCAGAAGTAGTACAACATTATTGATTTCACTAGAAATATTAGTTCCAGAAACTTTTGGAGTGTTATTACTTACACGAAATTTCATTTTATGCTAACTAAATTCCAAGTACAAGATGGAATCTCCTACCTTTCTCACTTTCAATTCTGAAGTGAGTTGTACATGCATAACAATGTGCTGTCTGCAGAAACGGATCATTTGGCCTAATTAAAGAGATTCTGGAAGAATGATTTAAAAAAAAAAAAGTTACAGGATCCCTTCAGCAGCAGTAGCACAAAGTGTGGGAATGGAAGATAGGGATAGGAGATGGCTAGAAAGCCAAACTGTTGTAACATTCACGCAGTTACAGCGGGCCTCTCACGAGCGAGGGGAAAGAAGACTTGTTAGCGTACAACTGATTTTACTACTTGTTAGCGTACAACTGATTTTACTACTTGTTAGCGTACAACTGATTTTACTACTTGTTAGCGTACAACTGATTTTACTACTTGTTAGCGTACAACTGATTTTACTACTTGTTAGCGTACAACTGATTTTACTAGTCTGCACTAACAGAAATGCCTAGCATGTGATGGGGTGTTATAATGCAACAAACTGTGGTCTGCATGCAGCCTCCCAGTAACCACTTTGTGGTTTCCCAGCAATTTCACATTACATTGTTGAAATTTGGCAGCAACACAGCTGAATATTGGCTTTGGAACACTGGGCCATATTTTGGTTGTTTGAAGTTTGAAGGACTTATGGGTGGGGAAGAGAGCAGCTTGTCTTTCAAAGGCCTCTTGTTCCCACACTTACTATAATTTCTCAATGAATAAGAAAGAAAAGGGCCCACCCTTCTGATATAATACTGCAGAAGGGTGTTCTCCAGGTTTCCAAAAGGTTAGGAGGCTGTGTTGAAGCCCCCAGCTCCTCAAACATTGCAAGGTTTTAATGAAATAATTTGACAGGCAAGGTAGTAAAGGGGTATGAGAACCAAAAAACCCAATTTCTCCAAATATAAAACATTTTTATGAATTTATCATCACATTGAGTTTCTGAACTGCTGTATTAAAACACAACTTTAGTTCCTGCTTTCCTATTCTATTGTTTCAGTCACCAGGAGAAGTGAAATAAGGATGTTCTGAAATTATGTATGAATCAGGAGAAAGCCGATATATTATTTCTTAGGGTAGAATTAGCTTTATATACAATTGTGAAATGTATTGGGCACAATATGAACTGATGAATATTCATAAGCATGCTCAGAGAAAGGTCAGTTTAGTAAGTGAATGCCTGGTACATATAACATTTTTCATTCACTGCCATTTATCCTGTCTAATATATATATATATTTTACCGCAGAAGGAAAGCTCATCCTTAATTCACCTACAGGTGATTATAAAAGACAACTGTCACATTTATTTAACTACCAGAGTAATGACTGACATTTAAGCCCCATTCAGGAATTTGCCTGAAAACATGGTGAGCAAAATGTGGGAAGAGATTTGACCATTCAGTCTGCCCCAACCTCTCTCCAGCCTTCATACATTCAGAGAGGAAGTCTGAAGGGGATCTGTACTTCTATTTAATTGAACACAAGAACATCTGTGTTCTCTGCAACCCAATACTGTAGGGTCCTGGGTCATACTGACAGCCATATTTACTTCCCTTTAGACCTCCTGTCTAGACAGAAAGGTGTTGGCCGAACAGTATGTACAGCCCTATTTTATCCCCACTTTGAATGTTATATATAAAAGAATATCTTTATTATTTTATTATGTTTATGTTTATAATATAGTAATAAACTGTAATCTTCAAGGTGCCACAAAACTCTGTTGTTTTGTGTATGAAACACCACCCTAGATTTGGCCCAAGGTTCTCCAATTCCTGCCCTCCATCACTGCTTCACAATTCTTAGGTCACATCCTGTTACTGGTCCAGAACCACAGACTAATATGAATTGTGTAGCACATTTCATGTCTGGATTCCTTTAATCCCAAAATGCTTTCTTTCTATTCATCAGGGAATAGAACTGTTCTGATTCCCTTCCACCTAAAAGGCTGATTTGGAATGTTTTAGTGCTGAAATTCTGTAGAATAGTTCCACTGAAACTAAGTGGTTTCCATGAAGCAGTGGAGGGCAATCTGCAGATTTAGTATACACTGGGACAATACCTTTTCTGAAGCAATGTATTAGGCAAAAAGATGCAGTTTATGGGAAAAAAATAGCATGTTTGCTGAAATTGAACAGCATGATTTGTCACTGAAATCAGAGCTGAGTGAGCTGACTTCTATGAATATTTCCACAATTCCACAAAATACCTTGTCAGCAATATCTTGTTAGGGGAATGATTTGACAGAAGAAAATACCCTGGAAGGATGCTACTGAGCCTCCATTATGATCTAGTCACATCGCAATTGTGATATGCATTTCAACTGAAATACTATAATATGAACGATTATCATCTATATTTAAATATGCATTTCAACACATATCTACAGCATAGAAACAGCAACAACAATAACAATAATCCAAATTAAAATGACAAACAATTGATTCTATTTACCCTATGATATATCATTACTTATTCAACCCATTATTTTCAATAAAATAATTAAACTTTTGCTTATGGTTGTCTCATTTAAATAAATTTTAGTCGAATTTTAATTTGACTAGCCCATTATTTTTAAAGTTTGGAACGTGGCTTACTGACAGTAGAATCTTTGAACCTGACTTCAACTATGATTAGTGTCTTATGCCATCTCTGAGGAAATGTCAAATCAGCATTAGACATTCACAAGGTAGACATTCTGTATCTTTAATTGACCATATCCTTAAATCACCATGCAAACATTACAAGCTCCTTTTTTAAGGCACTTTGTCATGCTCATTGTGGTGTGGCTACTTATCTATCAATATTTGTTGCATTCATCTAAGGATTAGTGTTAGAGTTGCACAGTTTACTTCATTTGCTCACACAATGCCATCCATAGTCATTCTCTGAATCCACACTGTTTTGGTCTTATAGAAAAAGTATAACATCTCATAAACTAATAGAAAATACAATTGCTGAATGTAAATCTTTTTGTAGACAAAATAGCACCATCCATACAAAACACAGTGATAGTCAGCAGATGTGGAGGAACTTCAAAATCTGCAGAGTTTTTTTTAAAAATAAGAATAAATATTTATCTTAGCCCTCAACTGTATGTCCAGACGGCATGAAATCCTGACAAATGAATAGTAATGACATAAACTATGGAAAAGAAATGAACTAATGTGTGTCCTGGGAAAGGGGAAAGTTTGTTGACATGAATTCTACACAGGAACACTCCACCGTGCAACTTCTTGTCACAGGTTCTGTTTTTTCATACTGTTCGCAATATAAATGTGGATTTGGCAGGAATTATGTTCTCTTCCACATATAAATTATTCTTTTTTTTCCTTATCTACACCAATAACATTACCTTATCTTTAATGTTTAATTACCTTATCTTTTCTCAATGGTGGCATTTTTTAGAAGATTCTGAAGCAAAAGACTAGTTTCCATTAGGTTTGAGAACAAAAATTACAATGTATTACTAAGGGGCCATCTTATATGCTTCCTTGGCATGTCAAGTTCTAAAATTCTCTTCATAAATACACTGAAATGCTTTAAAAAATTAAACAAATGCAAGATCAATTAGTATTCTTACAAGTACAGATTATATAGGGTAGACAAGGAGTGTGCAACCTGTTTTGGGCCAAGGGATTCACTTTGATTTTGAATGATGTGGTTGAAGCCATATTCCAAAAAGTAATGAATGGGGCCAGTGTAAAACTATATATGTGACTCACTTAAAAAAAGTTTATAGATTATTAAAAAAGTAATTTGTTTAAAAGTTAGATAATGTGAGTTTGGAAATTACTGTATTTTTCCGATTATAAGACGATACTTTTTTCTAAAATCCTTACGCTAAAAATTGAAGGGCGTCTTATGCAAGGAAGTAAGCTGAGGAGAGAACCATGCGGTTGCAAAACTGCCCATA